AAATACCATCATTTTTGGGGTTAGGGCTTTAACATATAGACACAGGGGAATTTAAACATTCAGGTCTTTGAAATGTATGCTGAAGAGGATTTTGAAAAGTATACAGTGATTTGCAAAATAAGGTATTTTTATTAGTATTATCACATTTTTTTATTGGCAAGTTTTTAAACATTTCCCCTGTGCCTTGGTTTCTAAGGAAACCAAATTCTTTCTGAGCAGTGTTCAGAAAAATAAAGACCGTATGCAATTTGAAGTTAATAAGGGAAATACCAAATGTGCAACTGGGACTCGGTGACAATACATGCTAGAACAGTATCTTACACCTCAACTCTGAAGCTTTAATTCCTAACCACATCGCTGCCCTGCTGCAGGGCAACTATTATTATTCAATAGAATCTATTAACACCTTATATATCCCAGAGCAGAAGAGGGGACTTTGGGAGAATGGGAAGCAGGAAAGATCAGTGTTGAGAGAGGGATCTGGCCATGTGGGTCGTGTGGGTAGTACTAAGGCTAGGGGTTGGGGGTGGGGAAATCCTGAGCAATCTTCCCTGAGGTCCTCCAGCAGCCTTCAGAGCAGAGGGTGTGCGCAGCAGGCAGACTAGTGGTGCAGAAGCACTGGAACACTAGCAAGACAGGCCATTCATTTTTGGAGGGTGGGCTGATGGTAGAGGATGAGGAGGGACGTGATCAAAACAGAGTTCCCTCCTTCATAGCTAATGCTGCCTGGATTGACACCAACCACGCACAGTAGCAGGCAAAAAATGGGCACCTATAAATGTTCAATGAATGGCCAAATAAGTGATTGAGTCAAGTGAATGTATCTGGTCACCCTGCCGCTGGCAGCAGTACATCTCCTGTCCTGCTTCCTCCAGCTCTGCAGAGTTTCAGACATTGAAACTCATTGGAAGAAGGTTCTAAAAAAAATGAAGACTGGCGGGAACTTGGTATCCTTGGTATCGGTTGCTGAGAGGGGAAGTTTTGGGGGTTTGCTTACCTAAAATGGGATCATCAAAACATGGTCATCAAAACGTGGTCTCTGCCCAGTTGTTTTGATTTCTTTTCACTCTTTGAATTGCTTTTTATTTCTCCTAAGCATCTTCCCTTCCTTATCTAGATTGCTCAGTTTGTTTTGGAAACAAGACATTATCCAAGCGCAGTATTGCTTGGAATGACACATAGCAACACGTAGGTCTTTTACAGCGGCGACTGTGTTTTCTTTATTGGCTTTATGAAAAGAAATGATCAGTGGTTTAGTTACTGCGTGCTAATGGCCATGACTTGCAAAAGACAAATCATAGCCTGTGTGTTTGTAAACTTGTGGGTGTTACTGCCAGAGCACACCTTTTACTCGGTTAAGGCTGTAAAAGTTTATGAAACTTTTATATTTTTAATATTTTACTAAATCTCTTTTTTATTTTGTTTTTGGAAAAAAATTTTTTTATAGAAAAAATAGTGTTAATATATCCCTTGAAGCTAATTTCCACAGTGGCTTAATTATTTGAAAGAAGCACTGTTTTCTTAGAGAAGTGTATTCTAAGGCTTGGAAACCTGCCTTGTTAGTTCACTTGTTTCTCCTCGAAATTGTACACTTCTGTTACTTTGTTAAACTCAGAGTAGTACCAAATATCAAAATGAGAGGGTCTGTGCCGACTGTTCACCAGGCTTTCTGTCCTTTTCCAAAAAGGCCTTTCTTTGTCCATGCCTCTTTTTGATAATTATGACCAAAAAAATTAATGCAATTGGAAATTCAGAGCAAATTAAAATTAAATATTGTCACCAAAACCCAAACAATGCAATGTAATAGTGTTAGTTTCTATGTGTCTTTTTTAAAGTATATTTTATTGATTATGCTATTATAGTTGTCTCAATTTTTCCCCCTTTGCCGCCCCCCACTCAATACCACCCTCCCACCAGCATTTCCCCACCCCCTTAGTTCATGTCCATGGGTCATACATGTAAGTTCTTTGGCTTCTCCATTTCCTACACTATTCTTAACCTTGCCCTATCTGTTTTGTACCTACCATTTATGCTTCTTATTCCCTGTACCTTTTCCCCCATTTTTCCCCTTCCTCCTCCCAGCTGATAAGCCTCCAGATGATCTCCGTCTCTGATTGTGTTCCTGTTGCGGCTGTTTGCTAATTTGTTTTTGTTTTTGTTTTTTAGATTTAATTGTTGATAATTGTGAGTTTGTTGTCATTTTAATGTTTATAATTTTGATCTTTTTATCTTAAATAAGCCCCTTTAACATTTCATGTAATAATGGCTTGGTGATAGTGAATCCCTTTGACTTTACTTGTCTGGGAATCACTTCATCTGCCCTTCCATTCTAAATGATAGCTTTGCTGGATAGAGTAATCTTGGTTGTAGGTCCTTGCTTTTCATCACTTTGAATACTTCTTGTCAGTCCCTTCTTGCCTGCAAAGTTCCTTTCAAGAAGTCAGCTAACAGTCTTATGGGAGCTCCCCTGTAGGTAACTAACTTGTTTTCTCTTGCTGCTTTGAAGATTCTCTGTTTATCTTTAACCATTGGCATTTTCATTATGATCTATTTTGGTGTGGTCCTCTTTGGGTCCAAACTTGTTTGGGACTCTGCTTCCTGGACTTGTATGTCTGTTTCCTTTGCCAAATTAGGAAAGTTTTCTTTATGGTTTTTTTCAAATAAGTTTTCAATTTCTTGTTCTTCCCCCCTCCTTCTGGCACTCCCATGATTCAGATGTGGCACTTTTGAAGATGTCCCAGACTCTTCTTCTACTCTCCTCATTTTTAAAAAATATTTTATTTATTTTTATAGACAGAGGGGAAGGGAGGGAGAAAGAGAGGGAAAGAAGCATCAATGTGTGCTTACCTCTCACACATCCCCTACTGGGAGCCTGACTGGCAACCCAGGCGTGTGCCCTGACTGGAAATCAAACCAGTGACCTTTTGGTTTGCAGGCACATGCTCAATCCACTGAGCTACACCAGCCAGGGCTCCTCGTTTTTGTTTTTGTTTTTTTTTAATTCTTGTTTCTTCATTCTGTTCTGATAAAATGTTTATTTCTTTCAATTTGTTCCATATCATTGATTTGAATCCTGGCTTCCTTCCCTTCACTGTTGGTACCTGCAGATTTGTCCTTGTTTCACTTAGTGTAACCTTCATTCCTTCCCTCATGGTTTTGCAGTACTCAGTGAGTTCTCAGAGCTTCCTTATCACCAGTGTTTTGAATGCTACATCTGATAAGGCAGCTATCTCTCTTTTGCTTAGTTCCTTTTCTGGTGTTTGGTTCTGTTCTTTCACTTGGGCCATGTTTCTTTGTCTTCCCAACTTGGCAGCCTCCTTGTGTTTGTTAGAGCTGGTGTGACTCCCTGTTTTATTGCACCAGTTAAATTGTAAGGGGCACAGCCTTGGGTATTCACAAGGGCAGGGCAACCCACTTCACTGCTTTGTGGCACCATGCCAGGGGAGGGATCAGAGAGGGGACAGTGCTGCTGCCTGGCCTCTGGAAGCTTGCCTGGCACTCACTCCATTTCCAGTTACTTCACCCACTTCCCGTATGCAAGTGGCACCCCTCTCATTGCTGTTCTGGTGATGATTCCCAGAGTGGGTGGGTTTGTGGACGTTCTAGGACTGCGCAGGTCCTTTAAACAGACTCTCCTGAGAAACCAGCAATTTCTTCTGCCACCCCAACCCCTGCTGGATTTTACAACCAGAAGTTGTGAGGCTTTATCTTCCTGGAGCTGGAAACCTGGGCTGCACAGTCCAGCCTAGGGCTGGGATTGCTCGCTCCCAAGGTGTCCCTCCCGACTTTTAGCCACCACACTTGAGCATGAGACCGCTGTTCTACCACCACCGTCTTGCTCCCCACGCTGCATCCTCTCTCCTTGGCTCCCCATCTCCCCCCCCCCACCCCCGCATCTGGATGAATGCGGCTACTTTAACTCCTTACTTGTTGGAATTCCTTACAGTTCTATTTTCTGCCAGTTCTGGGTGTTTTTTGTTTTGAGGTTAGTTGTGATTCTTCTTGTGGTTGGGCCAGGAGGCAAAGAGCGTCTACCTATGCATCCATCTTGACCGAAAGTCCCCTTTATTTTTTTAAAGTGCGTGTAGCTTTCAGGTTCCGGTGCCTCCAAGAATATCCCCCTAACCTGTGTGGGAAATGGTCAACTAGATTTCCGTATTTTGCCACGTATAATGGGTACTTTTTGCCCAAATTTCTTAGGGAAAAATAAGATGCCCGTCATACATGGGTAGTGCCTAAAATACCATGTGTCTGTTCTTGTGTTTTGTAATTATTTGTTACATAAAGTTTCTTGTACCATAGTATGTTAAAAAATAAATGCTAAAATTCCTTTATAATACCGAAAACAAGTATCTAAATATAAATGAATAAAAATTGAATTAAAAAATTAAAATGAAAGATTTTTTGAAAGTTTGGGTCAAAAGCATGGGTGTGCATAATACACAGCAAAATCCCCTAACCCCCTTGTTTCACAGATAAAAAGACTGAGCTTTAAAGACTCAAGGGATGCTCACACACTCGGCATGTTAGGAGCTTAACTCAGGTGACCCACCCCTGGCCCCGGCCCAGACATACTGTTGGCTGCTCAGTGCTTTGCCCACAGTACTCCCCACCCTGGGCACTTTAGGATAGATACTCTCTTGTGCAGAGGAGACATCTCAGCCAGCATCATGTCCCTGTACCTGATGGTGCTGACTTCACACTGTCACAGAAGCGAGGAGGCAGAGGCCAGAAGACACCTGTCAAGCCTGGCTAGTCTCTGGGTCCGGGCTTACTTCTAGTTCCTTTATTTTACCCCAGGCATTTGGATTCACCACAACAGAGAAACACCTCCCCAGTAGAGCCTCTGGGAAATAGGTGGGGCAAAATCTAACTCTGAAAATGGATTGATTTTTGAAATAAAACTTTGGTCTTTTGTCACATTGCAAGCCCTTATTAATGGTTTTCCCTAAACAATTTAACAGCTCCTCTCAAACTTCTAATTTGTTTTTTTTTAACAGTGTATCTGGTGGAGAGCTGTTTGATCGGATAGTGGAGAAGGGATTTTATACAGAGAAAGATGCCAGCACTCTGATCCGCCAGGTCTTGGATGCTGTCTACTATCTCCATAGAATGGGCATCGTGCACAGGGACCTCAAGGTGAGGCTGTCTGTCACTCAGCAGCATCTTCCAGCTGCTCTCAACCCATAATGCACCTGTCCCAGAGGACTGGCTCCAGAGGTGGGATGGGGGTGCCTGGATGTAGACATGGGTGGAATGAATGGGGGGCATTTGTGTACTGTTGGTCATCTGGGGCTTTGGGACTCCAAAGTAGCTTGAAAGAAGATGAAAATTAATGGGGCTGGCTGTTGTCTGGGAGATTGTATAATCATTATGCAGCCAAAGGGCCACCAACAGGCAGGTTATGTATTCATTCAGGCCTATCTAAAAGGTAGTTTTGTTCAAGACCACAAAACCCCTTTTTCCATTACAGTTCTTCAGTCTTCTCCTTATTCTGGTGCTGTTTCAGCAAACCAGGCTGTACGAAAAAAAGGAGAGAGTGGGCAGAGGGCAAGAGATGAAAGAGAAGAGTGATGGAAGGTTATCAGGAAAGCTAGCTTAAATAAACGACAGTTAGAGATTTCTACAATGTCCTGTGATTCCTTACTTATCTTTTCTTTGTGAGGATTTGCCGTCCTTGCCCTTCGCTCAATAGCATTGAAGAATCTGGGCCATATTTGAGCACCTTAGAAATGTATCTCTTTCGGGTCTATGTCGATTCCAAAGGGTAGATATGGAACATATCAGTTTGAGGAGCAGTACAATTAGCACCGTTGACCCAAGGCTGTGCTCTGGCTTCATTCTGCAGCAGCTCCAGGTCCAGCCCCCAGAGCTCACTGCACCAGTCAAGGTAGAAATGCCACCCCAGCACACCTACCTACCATTCCTATCATAAACACGGGATCACACTGTATTGAAGCCATATATATGACTATAAATGAATTGAAAGAATAAATCCTAAAGATGAGTGAAAAGGGAATTGCAGCCTCTCCCATTTTCTGGTACCGGGAGTCAAGGCTTTAATGGTGCAGCTTTCCTTTCATAAGGACTCACTAAGTTTTCCTCTCTCCATGTGACCACTTCCCACTGACTAGGGCAGTGGCTCCCAAATGCTAGTCTACACCAGAGTCCTCTGGAGGGCTTGGGAAAACACAGATTGCTGGCCCCACCCCGGAAGTTCTGATTCTGCAGGTCAACCATGTGGCCTGAGGCCTTGCACTTATGAGGGGGATTACAGGTGAGGCTAGTGTTGGCTTGAGAAGGACCACTCCTGAAAAACTACTGTGTGAGAGTATTTAGGAATGTTGATTAAGTCCTTACCCTCCACCCTTTGGAGGCTTCTTGACAGGCGACTTGGGCTGGGAGCACAATTAGGTAATTTTTATGACCTGGACACCCTTCAGAGGGCGAGGTAAGGGCTCAGGAAAGAGGACGACTTAGCTGGCCCTTCAGCACTGCCTCCTCTGCTGTCTTAGGCCCTCCCCATCACCAAGCACACAGCTGGCAGCTGTCTCCGGGCAAGTTAGTGTGGTGACTACAGAGATGAGGTGTGCTGGGCTGGTTGTCTGTGCCGGTTAGAAATAATTTCTAAGCATATATTGGCATTTCCCAGAGGGCAATGTTTACTTCCCCTGTAGAAGGCAGATTGGCTGCATGGGAGATATTCTTTTTCACTCCCACGTCACACTTTTGGAGAAATACTTGCAGCCTCCAGCCTGTGGAGCTTTACAGTCACCCACGAGGCTTATGATTGTGGGGAAAGAACATGCCATTTCAGGACCTCTTTGTGATTTCTTTTCAAAGCACAAAGGAGGTTGGTCTATGTGAAGGAAACTGATGTTACATTTTCATAAACATCTGAAAAAGTTAAAGGGAACTGTATTATCTAGGCCAGAGAAATGGAGAAGATGATCAGGTTAATTGATAACTAAGGCATGATCCCGGGGTACTGACCATCCTCACACTTGAATATCTGTTCTTCTTCCTCCAGAAAGGTATCGTTGGGCCTCCTTGACCCAGGAGGCTACCAGATACAGTCGGTTGTTCTTTTTTCAAAACAAGGGACTGAGCCAGGAAATGTCCACCACTGCCTCCTCAGATCAGGGTAGGGGGTCTCAGCCCCGCACTAGCGACACTCAGACCTGCACTGCTTCTTGTGGTGGGACTGTCCTGTGCACTGCAGAGTGGTTAGCAGCGCCCTCAGCCTCTGCCCAGCAGATTCCAGGACCACTTCTGGGGCTGTGACAATCAAAAATGCCTCTGGGCATCTCCAACTGCCTGTCCCCTGGGGGGTGCAATAGTCCCAGTTGAGAATCATTATGTTAGATCAGGAGGATGATTGATAATCTAAAACATTAACTTGACAGGAGGTGCTGGTTCAGATCTTTTAAAACATTGTCATGTGAATATTAAAGGGTTGGGATTGACCTTCTAACTCAGGTATTGGCCACTGATTGCCGTGCAATGATGCCATAAAATACAGTAGCTCGTTTTTCAGGTGAGCCCTGAGTTTCCAAGGACCCCAGGCAGAATTACGAGATCTCCCCCTGCCCCCACCCTTCCCACAGCCCTCCTACTGCCCACTGGGGCTCCGGCCAGATTATCCCTGAGCCTGTTCTCTCTCCCACTTTCTTCCCTGTAACCCCCTTCCCCACAGAAAGCCTTGCTGTCTTTACTGGTCTTGAGCCAATTAAAGGTATTGATCTTAACTGTGAATGAGCAGTCCATTGAATCCTCCTTAGGGATAATTGTCCTTCAAAAGAGCACTTTAGGGACCCAAATGAATCTTCTGTAGGATGAATGTTTAAGATGGGACCAGGGCCCTTTGGCGATCTCTTGAACACTGACTGTGCTGCTGCAGAAGTGCAGGGACAAGAAAAGTTATAAATCAGGATCTTGAAAAAAGACAACTCTGCACCCATGGTGGATCCTGACTGTTCACCAAAGGGTAACCCCTAAACATCCAGAGGAAACACAAACCACATGTACTTTTTGATTACCGTATTTTTCGGACCATAAGACACACCTAGGTTTTAGAGGAGAAAAGAAATTTTTTTGAAGCAAAAAATGTGAAAACTATTTAATAACATAAATAACGTAATATTTCCCCAATGTAAACAAAACTCAACAGCAGTTATTCTTCCCAAATTGGGGGGAGGGGTCTGAAAAATACAGTACATCGTTCCCCCCATTTTCCAAGCATTATTCTTATTTCAATTGAGCCATTTTATTTCTTTTAAAACTCATTGGGAGCATACATTGATTTTCTTCTGATCTCTTGCCTCATACATGGAATTAATTTCACAGTGACTGTTAAATGCCATTTTTTGGTGTGTTATTATTTGGGGTAAAGGATAAAAAAATTATTCTGAACCTTGTTACGTGGTGAGGAAGACTTTCTTCAAGACTGCTGCAAGAGCCCCAGCCAGGTGGCTCAGTTGGTTGGAACATTGTCCTGTGCACCAAAAGGTTGCGGGTTCGATCCCTGGTCAGGGTGCCTACAGGAGGCAACCGATCGATGCCAATAAATGTTTCTCTCATGTTAATTCTCTCTTTCTCTTTCCCCACCCCCCACTAAAATCAATCAACGTATTTTTGGGTGAGGATTTTAAAAAAATAGACTGTATGCAAGAGGGTATTACAATGTCACAACAGGGAAAAGAATCCAACTGAACTCCTAATTCAGCAAGGGAGGGGGGACCCTTGTAGCCCAGAGTGAGCGGTCATGGGTGGAAAGTTACTAAGAGGAGGCATCAAGGGTAGGGGAATTCTTGCTAAAAGCAGGCAAACGCTTAGACAAAGTCAGACAAAGGAGATTTTGACCAAACTTGAGTTGGGTTCCCTGGTGCCTTCTCTTTGACTAGGCCCCAACCGTGGGCTCCTCCTGAGTCCACTGGCTCTGCCCGCTTGGTCCAGTCATAGTAAGAGCCCTAGTGACTTAGCAACAGTCCTCATCCTCGATGTCTGGTCAGATTCCTGGTGCCCCGCCCTCCCTATCTGACCACCCTGGCCGGCCTTCAGCAAAGCAAATCAGCATAGTCAGAATGCCCTTAGCCCCGGTGCTCCCTCTTAGTCATTTTTCGTTCACTGACTTCCTTTCTCTGTTCTATGGCTGTGACTGTAAATCTCTACTTGTCCTTATTCACATTGAGGCAAGTCTCTTTCCCTTCCTGCAAACCCCATTGCAGTATTCCCCCTGATTAAAGTCTTCCTAAGCATCTTTAACAAGTGTCTGAATTTTTAAGTTAAAATATTTTTTATCTTTTAAAGTTTTTTTTTTTTTTTTTAGTTTTAGAGAGGAGGAGGGGGGAGAAAGAGAGGGAGAGAAACATCAATGCGTGGTTGCCTCTTATGGGCGCCCCTACTGCAATCTAGTCATGTGTCCCGCAACCCAGGCATGTGCCCCGACTGGGAATCGAACCAGCAACCCCTTGGTTCTCAGGTCTGGCCCTCAATCCACTGAGCCACACGAGCCAGGACTGAATTTTTTTTTAACAGCATAGAAGGTGGGGGATGAAGAACCTGACCAGACATCAAGAGTAAGGGATTCCCTCTAAACTGACTTAGCATGGTTCTTGCAGAGACTGGCTGCGCAGGCCTGGCAAGGCCAGGAGGGACACAAGGCCAACGGCGTGGTCTAGCTGAGAAGAGTGCTCAGAGGAGCCTGACTGAGGTTTGGTCAAAAGAGGAGTCTCGGTCAGTTCTCAGAATTTCTCCACAGCAGTGGTCGTACCTCAGAACCCCCTCCCCACGGCCCCCACTCCTTTGGGGTTATAAAAGCCAGGGGCCTGGGCCCACCCTCAAATCCACTGAACAGGTGAATCTTCAGCCATTTAGTATCCTCACAGCTGGTTCTGCTACACAGCTGGGCTGAGAAGTCGCTGTACATAAGAACAGTTCCCGAAATGTAACACTTAGGAACCGAAGACTCACCACAAGCCACTCCCTGCTGGGATGGGGAGGAGAGCCAGACGTGAAATGGTGTGGGCAGGTGAGGTCCCAGTGCAGGTTCTTCTGCCACGTTTCCCTTAAGTTACGTTTAGTAATGTGAGGGACGTGATTACTTTTCACCCGGTTCATCTTCAGAGTTTTCCTGGCGCGGGGATGTAACTGGGAGACAGCAGAGGTGTCAGTCCTCCCCATTATCTCCCTCAGCGACAACATCAGTCATTGAGCGACTCCTCAAAGATAGACCCCCCCAAAAAAGGGAAAAGGTGAGTGCCCTGTGTTCAGGTTCTCGGCCTGGCAGTGCAGGGAGAGCTCTGAGGCTGGGACAGCTCTCTCGGTCTCCCTAAGTCCTGCCCGCATTCTTTGCCAGGAACCATGAGATTCCCTGATTTTACATAAAGCGCCGTGCAGATGAGGCTTCACTGTCTCCCCCTGATTCCTGCACGAGCCCCCCCCCCCCCGCCCCTCCTAGGCAGGGGCACTGCTGTGCAGCGCTCTCCTGGGGACAGGACTGTGCTCAGACCCGGGCTGGGTGACAGGTACGGTACAGCTGAGCTCTACTCTGTCCTGTCCAGGGAAGCAAACGAGAAGCCATCACAGCTCGTTTTAATAGCACAGCTGGTGGAAGCTCAGGGTACTTAAGGGCTCGTGGCTAGAGCATGCTGGATCTTCCAAACCCCATTCAGCCCCCAGTGACAGCTCTCTTCTTCCCAAGGAGCAGAACTCGCAGGTTCAGCTGGTTCATCTGCCAGAACTAGAGACCTTGGTGTTACTGAGGGTCCGGAGAGACCCTCGGGTTAGAGGAAGGTTGCGAACAAGGGTCTGATAAAGGAACAAAGCAGCACCTGCAAAAGGAATTTTATTTCTGTCTCTCCTTTCTCCTAACCCAGGAAACGAATGCACAAGTCAGAGGCATCCGCTTTCTAGTGCAGATTTAAAAATAAAAAGGCCTTTCAAAGTCAGAGGCAACAAGTGTTTATGTGGAGACCTACAAAATATGCAGCTGTCATTCATTCAGGCAGGAGCGCGGTAGGGTTCTGATTAGGGGACAAAGGCTGGGGGTGTCTGGAGGGGAAGCGTTACCTGAATAGAAGGAGGGAGTCACTGTTAGTGCAGGTAACATTATGGTAGTGACAATTCCAAACAACGTGTTTAATTTTCAGTCCAGTAGTTGTAGTAACTGCTTTAGTGCTCTCTTTGCACACAGTTCTCTGGAAACACGGTTGCTCTAGGCCCAGCCCTGTTGGTAACATTACCAGGTTTGAGGCTAAGACGCTCCTCTGGGACGGCCGCTCCAGCTCCATTTTAAAGTGGCTCCTTTTCTATTATTGTTTACACTGAATTGCCTCCAAATAGGGTTGCTTTTTTCCAAAGCAGGGAAAAATCCTAACTCAGGGACAGGAACTAACATTTATGGAAGAGCAGTAAGTGCCCCCAGCTCCTCAGGGCCCTCTGCAGCGCTGTATTGAAGACGGCTTTTCTCATTGTGTGCAGTGTCTAAAGGTCAAGTGTATCCTTGAGTACCGAGTACATCTTGTGGTTTGGTAAGTCCACCACTGTCAACCAGCTCTAAACACAGTTTGTCATTTTATTTTCTTCTTTTAGCCTGAAAATCTGTTGTACTACAGTCAAGATGAGGAGTCCAAAATAATGATCAGTGACTTTGGATTGTCAAAAATGGAGGGCAAAGGGGATGTGATGTCCACGGCCTGCGGGACCCCCGGCTACGTTGGTAAGGACAATGCGTGTGTCCCTGCAGGTCACCTTCTTTAGTCTTTTTAAGCCTGGAAGGCTGGCACAGCCGCCTCCATTTCCCTTGAAGGGAGAGTAAAGAGAGTGAGAGACACAGGAATGAGCTACAAGGCAACTGATTCCCCTTGAAACCTTCTCAGAGTCGGGTAGAAATGCTGTTTCATTGGGGCTCGGGCCTGACTGGACGCCAGGAGTTGATTCGGGTGAATTCCCAGATTCTGATACCAGAAACATTGGATGTACATGCGTTTTCAGGTGATTTACAGCCCTGAGACACTGAGATGACAAGAAAGTACAGACACAAATAAAGCATTTCAAGGGCTGAGATAGAAGCAGCTGGAAAGGAAATGTTGATAGGAGGACTCTGGCTCTAACCTTGATGGAGTCACTTTCTTGAATTAGCCAGCCTCAACCTGTATGGGAGAAGCTGAGAATGAAAGTATTCCTTAAAATCAGAGCCCTGGGTTTTGTACGAAACACAGAGAATGACAAGAAGGCTACTGACAGATCCGAACACATGGATCCCGAGATTCCCCTTCTGTTTTCTGGGGTCCGGAGAACGGCCCCTGCAACTCTGAAGGTTTTGAGACTTTCATTTACATGCATGTATGCATTCAGGCAGCACATGGGTACGAAAGTGCTGGCAATGCCCCTACCAGATGCTGTTGGAGGCCCTGGGCTACGGCAGTGAGTGGGACAGACGGGTGCCCACCCTCACAGAGCTCGCATTTTAATTGGAGCAACAGACATTTGACAAAGAAACAAATAAATGAGCAGGGCCATTTCAGATCATGATCAGTTCAGCCAGTAAGAGAAAGTGGGGACATGTGGTGGAGTCACAAGGGTGTAGAGGGGTGGGACTGGGTGAAGGGGACCAGAAGGAGACTGAGGCAGCCAGCCATGGAAATTTAGAGGACAGAACATTCCAGGTAGAGGCATCAGCTGTTGCAGAAGCCTCAGGGGGGGCAGCCCAGGGGGAGGGTACAGGCTGGGAATGTCTGAGAACAGGGTCAGAACTGAGGTTGGAGGAGGCTTTTAGAAAACGGAGGTTAGGGCTGAGTTTTCGTCATGCAAACCGTGATGGTCTTTCTTAATGAGAACAGGAAGCCTGCCCCGGAAGAGAGGAGGGAATGTTACATGGCCAATGTCATTCCTGTTTGTCTTTGGGTAGAACCACACCACCTTCCCAGGAAGGCAGAGGAAAGCAGGTCTCACACTAAATGGGCCCAGGGCCCCAGAGCATTGTGGGAAACTCCACAGCACCTCCTCACAAGTGTTTGCGTAACAATGACTGTTATGGCACAGCTGCTGCATTTTTAAAGGAACTCAGAGGAGGAAAGAGCAGGCCGAGGGAATAACATGAGACAAGGAGGTTTAGAAGAAAGAGATAAGGATGGTGGAAACTCCGCAGGGGCAAGAAGGTGCGCCTCATGCTGCTTAGCTCTTGACTGTCACAGGTGAGGATTGTTCCCTGGGTTGTGTGTACGCACCAGACAGAAAAGATGAGGTGGTTCTGACCCTGTTTAAGAGGCCAGCACAGGCTGTGGTGGAAATAATGCCATGGCGACCCATCTCTGTTCTAGGAGACTAAAATGATGCTTAGGCTTACTCTCGGCCCCACTGGGGACACTTAAAATTGTGGCTGCATCGCCTGTGTAAATGCACAAGGATGCCCGGGGTGGGGGGCGGGGGACAGTGGACAGAAATGTGAGCGTGTGCAGTGTGTGTGTGGAATTTCTCCAGCTGAGTCCAAGCCGTCAGGCAAGCAGCAAATGAAAACGAGCTTCTTCTCATTTCTCTTAAAAGATGGGGAGGAAGAAAGCCTGTTCCAACCACAGGCGTTAGAAAACGGGAAGGTGTGTGAGGTCATGGTGTCCAGGGCCCTGGCCAGGGTGGTTCTGCTTCTTCAGCAGTCTGGTGCCCAGGCCACTCTGGGCCGAGAGGCTGTGGACGGTGCGGTGGCTGCCCAACGTCCCCTTTTGGGAAGTCAGCTCTGGGGTGTAATTTAATGTTCTGACAAAGAATGCCCATATTTACATATGCATCACACTGTTCTCATATTTGGCTCTGATGTTGGAAAGCTCTAGCACTTTCCAAATTGATTTTTGCGTCTTTGCATCTTGGCAGAGCCCGAGGACTGGCAGTTTCTCTGGGTTTCTAAGTGGCTGCCTTCGTTGGTCTGGTTCTGTTTAGATGTGAGACGCTGATGAGTCTGGGAATTGAGAACAATGTTTAGATGTGGCCCTTGTCCTCACTACCCTAGATGGAGGCAAGCGGAGCCGTCCGGAAATTCTCTCATCAGATATCAAGTTTACTGCGAGCGTGGAGAGGGAAGAGGCGGATCGTTGGAATGTAGCCATTCTGTTTCTTGATGTTTGAGCGCTGAGACTCTGGGAAGACCTTTTAGAACAAGGAAAGGGCCATAGTGGGGATTTCGTGTCTTTGTGGTCACACCTCGGGCACTCAGCTGTGTTTCCTCCCCTGCAGTCGACACGGAAAACTCCTATTCAGCCATCAAAGCCCTGCTTACATGTCACCCCCTTTTGAGTGCTTTCCCGACACCCATCCTCTCCTTTATCATCCCACTTCTTTTCCTGGCCCTTTTTTCATCATGGCTCCAATTTCATTGTCTCAGTGTCCAAATTTATTTGTGTCTCTTCTCCACCTGTCTGTGGGTTTTCTAGAGCAGGGACTATGTCTTACACATCTTTGTACATCTGCTTGTTAATTCAATAAAAGCCCCAAGGTTCAGAAAGTTAGCAATTTTTTCTTTTTCTCTTCCCCTTGTATTTGTTTAGCCTGCACGTATTGAATTCCTATTATGTGCCATGCACAGTGGTTTCATGTTAGGAATACAAATATGAATAGGACAGAGTCTCTGACCTCAAAATGCTCACAATATTACTATGAGAGACAGAGGACAAACAGCTACATTGAGTAAAGCACAGTAAGTGCTAGGCTATTCACCCATTCGTGAATTATTCATTTAGTGCCCACCTGTTCTAGGCACAAAGGACCCATCAGTAGAAGGAAAATAAACAGATAAAAGTCTCCACCCTCATGGTACTCACCTCTGAGTGGGAGGGAGATAGATGAGAAGAAACAACTGTGTTTGCTAATTAGTACCTTAGGTGGTGACGAGTGCTCTGGAAAGAAGTAAAGCAGGCGAGAGATCCGCAAGTGTGGCTGTGTGTAGGTGGTTGTAGTTTTAATACGGTGATGGGGGTGGATGTGGGGGTGCGGTCAGGACCCGACAGATGTGAAGCAGCTGGCCACGCTGCCATTTGGAGGACAAGCACTCCAAGGATGGTGCACAGGCCCTGAGGCAGGGCAGGGGGTGAGCGGAGGGGCCGTGGGGCAGGTGAAGTCAAAGAAGTGAGGAGCAGGGCACGTGCAGACCAGGACTGCGGGTCATTGTCAAAGCAGTCGCTTTTTCTGAGGGTGGCCAGAAGCCGTCAGAGGGTTCTCAGGTAGGGCACGCCATGAGCTGACTTGTACCAGGATCCATCTAAGGGACAGGCTGGCGGAGTGGAAGTGGTGAGATGCTGTTGGATTCCAGACATAATTTGAAGGTAGTATCAGCAAGATTTTCTGAAAACTTGAAAGAGAATCGTAGGGTGATCCCAAGGATTTGGGGTGTGGGCACCTGGAATGGCACAGTCACCTTTCAGTGAGATACCCGTGGGAGGAGCAAGTTGCAGAGATGTTGTCAGGGGGTTGGGTTTTGATTTGTGAGGTTTGCAGGGTCAAAGAGGTGGCTGGAATATGAGTCTGGAATCCACTCTGGAACCATATGCTCCGTGCCGGCTGCACGTGGAGCTGTGTCCCGTGAGGTCCCAGTGAACTCTGCCTGCCGAGCCCTTGGGGGAAGGGCAGGGCGAGGTTCTCGCCACCGAGCACAGCACTTTCCGTAGGTGACCCACACGGACCCTTGTTTCATGTGTGCTGCTGTCCAGCGGCGCCTCGTTTAAGAATGCCGTCAGTTCATTAACATGGAACTCGTGACCCACGGCATCCAGTCTCAGGCCCGAACAAAACTTGGCAAACACATGTACTTTCTCCACAAGGCACATCCCGGCCTCCTTGTGCTTAGGAAGCGTGGACTGTGCTCGGCTTCAGCACTGTACTCGGGGCCTTTTTAAAGCGTGAAATCAGTGAAACACATGCTAATGTGAAAAACGTGCTGCTAACTAGACCATGAAGGCAGCCCTGGCTCACAGCGTGAGAGCCACGAGGAGAGGGCAGGGCCCTGCTGTGTCTGACCCCACCTGAGAGTGTGCACCATGGGCGACGAGGGTTCCGGCCACTCCACTCCTGTCCACAGATAAACTCAGGAGCATCATGAGGGTGGACTTGGGAGCTACAGGTAAATTTTGGTGAGTAGGCAGATTCAAAAATATGGAATCCATGAGTGATGAGGCTGGACTACTGATGGGAGCTGATAGTTTCTGGATGCATTTTAAAGCCATGAACTTGGATAAAATCACCAGCTGAGTGGGTGGAGAAGAGGAAAGGCCTCAGGGCTGAGTCACAGGGACTCAGGGGTTCATGGAGTTGGCAGTAGGTGAAGTAAGAAGAGAACCTGGGGAGTGTGGTGTCTGGGAAATGCTTCAAGTTGGAGAAAGTACGATACCATGAGTCAGTTGTTGCTACTAAGTCAAGACTGAGTATTAACCATTGGTTTTGGGGACCTTGAATTATGACTTAACTACAATTAATTAAGTCTTTGAGGGCCTGGCTGTCAGAGTAATGCTGGGAAGAAGGTGAGACAGGTCTCTGTAAGAAGACCCCAGCATGCTGTCAACCCTGAGGACAGACACAGCCAACTCCACCTGCCGCCAGCAGTGGCTGCAAGGTCGGGACACTGGAACCTTGGACCAAGAATCCATGGCCTCACTCCTGCTGGGCAGTTTTCCATTTGAACAGGGCAGAGCCCCGCCCTGCCCTGGCCTGTGAGAGAGAGGACGGAGAGGGTGCTGC